GATTGCAAAATGGACTTCAAATTCGGATTCAGGAGGGGATTGATACCCTGGCAACCTCCAGAACACGTCTATCCCTTTGAAAACGAAGCGGACGCGAGGCGAGCACTGACCACGTCCACGTTGTCCATGTTGTTTCGCAGTTGTCGGAGCATTGTGTCACGTGTCGACATCGCCTTGGGCCGAATGGTAGGTCCGTTACAATCGGGACATGCCACGTCTCACATTTCTGGATCCACGACCAGAGTTGCTGTTCGAGTTGGGTTAGATGGGGCTGGTGCGCTGTTTTGTGTGTGGGCTGGATATGACAGTGCGAGATAGTGGCTTTAAGCCACCGTGTCATTGTTCTTTGATAAGGCATGTGGTTGAGACTGAATGCAGTAGGCCCACATTCGTAGCTGTAACCCATTTAATTCTGGATTAGCAGTACGATGCTCGATCAATCTTCGCTTCTGCTCAATTGTTAGCCGCTGCCTCGATGACGGCGATGGCATATGACCAAATGTTATGTTCAAGATGTGTTCCATCATTATTGCTTTGAATTTCAAGATACCTCCCTGAATTTATATTTTACTTGGCTCCAGGAGTATACATTTTTAGGGATATTAATTATGGTGGGTCTCCTAATGCGGGGGAAAACTGTAATCGAATTTGACAGGATAGGATACAGATACACTCCGCGCCACTTGATTTGCGCACACCTCAAATCTTATGGCTCACTGTTTTGAATGGTCGACAACGTAATAACATGCTTCATTGAGTAATTATGACCCTGTATGACTGAAGTGCAAGTGGTCTGTATGCGGTGTGAAACTCCAAACATGTTCAAACTGAATATCATACAAATCGCACTGCGACATTGAATTAGCGCAACCGTCATATTCGTTGGATTTATTGTCAAATCTGAGCCACTGACTGCACTAATACCGAGATTTCGGGGTGAAGTATTTATCCCCGTCCTCAAAATAACCTGCCGAGATGAATAAACTTGGGGAATCCTCCGGAAACTAGTAAAGGATTCCGCGAAACCACCAAAGTTTGGGGATTTGATAAACGGTCCACAAAGGGTCACCGTCATGGTTGACGACCCTTCAGTGGCAATCACCCACACATGGGAGACACTCGCCATCACTCCAACAGGCTTTCCAGAGGCCGTTCATCGCGTCAGTCACAACTCAATCTCGCCAGCCAAGATGTGGCCGACCATAGCAGCAACGACGTCGAGGACGTGCAGAACGTCGACAACGGTGTCATCGATGAACAAAAACGGATCGTCACAGCTGAGGTTTGCGCAAAGACTTGGTGGTCAGAGGATGATGACGTCCTCCTACTCATCCAGACAAACAATGACCGTCCCTTTCTAGCATCGAAGAACAAGATGATGGCATGGATCAGCACTGCAGAGAACTGTATGCGTATCGATGGGTTCAGCCGCAAAGCGCTGAATGGGAAGAAGGCCTCCCA